AGGAGGAGGAGGAGGAGGAGGAGGAGGAGGACAAGAAGAGGAGGATGGAGGGGGGCCGGGGTGAATGAAGAAGAAGAGGTGAATGACGAAGGCGACGAGGAGGAGAAAGAGAGAGAGAAAGAGAAGGGTTGTGAACAAGAGGAGGCATAGCCAGAAAATGTGCAAAAAGGCAGAAGGAATCTATGAAAGAGATAGAGGAGGATGCAGATAAAAATTATATAGATAGGAAACAGTGTGACGTGGAGAGGTAAACGCAGAGAGTAAATGCGATTTCGTATATTGCTATATTGTGTGAAATTTTGCTAATTTCTCTATACACTGTTTGTGCGCGCATGCCCACTATCTGCAAAAAAAATCATTATTATTTTAAAATTATGCATTTAAAACAACGAGGAAATATTCCTGAATAAACTGATATGAAAATAATCTATCAGAGTGACTCCCTTTATCAATAGCAATGAGCTCTAGCTCAGTCTTTCCAAATTGCTAATTTTGTGCCATGATATCTTATAGAATCACGTTTTCCTCCAGTAGGTGGCGCGTCGCTGTCATATAGATTTACATTCCAACACAGTTGGTAATTATATATTATCATCTCCTCTTTTATCGTTCTCCACTGTCCTTCCTTGTCTACCATTGTCCCCTATTGTACACCGTTACTGTATATTGTCTAACTTTGTTCCCCCGTCCCAATGCCCCCCCCCCACTGTATTAATTTGCCCCCCTCTACTGTCCCAATTACTTACATAATATTATTATATACATCGTATCATTTATAACATCGTAATATTTTTTATTTTTTATTTTATTTCAGTAATTAATAACAAGAGCAATTGTTAAAATAGCCGTAATTAAACGGGATTAACTTGTGTTACTACTCACCGATGACCGCTGGTCCTCATGATCGCCGGGATTCGATTTATAGGCCTTATTTACAAAAGCGTGCGCCATGACAACCCTTATATATAAATACGTAAATAAATATATATATATATATANCCCAACTTGTCCTCCCCCACCTGTCCCAATTCCTCCCCTCCCACTGTCCCAATTTCCCCCCCTCCACTGTCCCAATTACATACATCATATTATTATATACATCGTATCATTTATATCATCATAAAATATTTATTTTTATTTTATTCAGTAATTAATAACAAGAGCAATTGTTAAAATAGCCGTAATTAAACGGAATTAACTTGTGTTACTACTCACCGATGACCGCTGGTCCTCATGATCGCCGGGATTCGATTTATAGGCCTTATTTACAAAAGCGTGCGCCATGACAACCCTTATATATACATACGTAAATATCAAGATACATATATATATATATATATATATATATGTGTTATACACACGCATATAGACATGCGCATATACACATATACAGTGTTTACACTCACTCCAGGTACAGGTTGTGCACCGGATGGGAATAATTCACACTGAACTGTCGCTACGTCGGCTCTGGCGACGATTATAAGCAGGTGCCGACAATGTAAGCGGAGCCACCGTAGCTAGGATGCGACGACGCACCGGGGAACCAGTTTGTGGGAGAGAGATTGGTCGCAGCTGTGCGCGTGTGGGTGTGTATGTTATTGACATTGCTGTTGTCATGATTATGCCATTTACTTTGGTGATCACACATCATGCCACACACACACGCGCGCGCGCACACGCACGCCCACGCGCACGCGCACGCACACGCACACACAGATAGAGAGAGAGAGAGCGAGAGAGAGAGAGAGAGAGTAGTGTAGGGAAAGAGAGAGAGAGAGAAAGAGAGAGAGAGAGAGGGCAGCGCAAGCGAGATGGAGAGAGAGAGAGAGAGAGAGAGAGAGAGAGAGAGAGATATAGGGTGAGGGGGAGAGCGACAAAGAGTGAGAGAGACAGAGAGAAAGAGAGAGGAGAGAGAGAGAGAGCAAAGAGAGTAGTGGAAAGGAGGACGAGAGACAAAAGAGGAGAGCAGAGAGAAAGAGAGAGAGAGAGAGAGAGAAAAGGAGAGCGAGAGAGAGAAGGGGGAGGAAGGGAGAACGAAAAGGAGAAGAAGGAGAAAAAGAAGAAGAAGAAGAAGAAGAAGGAGGAGGGGTAAGGTGGGAAAACGTACGTACTCACCTGGGTGTTTCTAATCACTTTGCTGCTGATTGCAGGTAGCGGAGTCTGGTAGCGCGAGTAACGCTGCGAGTCACCCAGATTTATACTGATCATGTGTGCCGCCATCGTCACACGCTCTGACGCTGACGCTGACGCTGACACTGACGCTGACACTGATGCTGACGCTGACACTGACGCTGACGCTGACACTAATGCTGATGCTGACGCTGGTGTTTTATATTCTGTGTCACACGCTATGACGCTGTCGCTGGTACTGAAGCTGACAGTGACACTGGCGCTGACGCTGACGCAGCTCTATATCTGCGTCACACGCTATGACATATACATATTATATACCGAGTAGAGCAGGGAATGAATGTACGCATTCACTCGTCTATACGGGCCAGGACAGTAATGCTGTCAACATGAGATCTAGGGTGGGTGGATCTTTTGATGGTGGGAGGAGGAGGGAGGGGTGGGTTTATCGAATTCGACAGCTGCTAGTATGTGTGTGAAGATCGATATCGGTGACGTCACGATTGATCGGGTCATGCTTGACTGCGTGCGCCAATAGTTATGTTAGAGTTCTACCTCTCTCTTTCTCTCTCTCTCTCTCTCTCTCTCTCTCTCTCTCTCTCTCTCT